CCCGACACCCAGAGCCTGTGCACCTGCGGAGGCCCGTCCCGCCTGCAGCCCCGGGGCTGCTCACCTGCCGGACCTGGTGGTCTTGGCTCAGCGCTGAGCTCAGGGTACATCCCAGCGGGCAGCCGGCAACGTCATCGCCAAGACAGGACAGCGCTGACCTGGCAGGAGCCCCGAGCGCCTGAAATGAACTGGAGGCCGGCACCGGCTACCTGCTCACACAGAGCAGCCGAAACCATAGTTCTTAAACTTCGTCTTTCCAACCTTTAAAAACGGTGTGTGTGTTTTATAATTTATTACTTAAAAAACACACACCTGTTGACCATCGATATCCTTATTGATATCGATGGTCAACAGGCTTTAAAAAAAAAGTAATAAGTGAATGAAACCCTCACTAAATGACGTGATTATGTTTTGTTGAACACAGCACCAAACTTTACTTTTTAAATAATTCTTTATTGTTGAAAGTATTACATATGTCCCCCCTTTTCCCATTGACCCCCTCCAGCCCACCCCAGGCCTCCAGCACCCTATTGTCTGTGCTCATGGGCCACGCATATATGCATTCAAGGTCTTTGGTTGATTACCTCCCACCCACTCACCCACCCCGCCTTCCCTCTGAGATTCCGCTCTCTGTTCCATGCTTGAATCTGGATCCACTCCACTCATCAGTTTATTTTGTTACTTAGATTCCACCTATGAGTGCGACCATGCACAGCACCAAACTTTAAAGCAAAAAAATCACAGGAACCACGGATGAAACCTACATATTTTCTAACCTTCCTAATGCCGCGACCCTTTAATACAGTTCCTCATGTTGTGGTGACCCCCAATTTCATTGTTACAAATTGAACATAATTAAAGCATAGTGATTAATCACAAAAACAATATGTAATTATATATGTGTTTTTCCGATGGTCTTAGGCGACCCCTGTGAAAGGATCATTCGACTCCCAACGGGGTCGCGACCCACAGGTTGAGAACCTCTGTTCTAAACCTATTAGTAGCTCTATTTTATTCATATCTTCAAAGAAATAACATCTTCTCTAGTTAATTCTTTTACCTTTTTGTTTTCTACTTTAATTTCAACTTACTGTTTTTGTTTATTATTATTAGTTTAATAGGTTACTGAATTAAATATATAATTTATTTTCAATGTTTTTGGTAATAAAAACATTAATGGCTAGAATATTTTCTGAGTATAGCTTCAGTTCTATCCATTGGGTTTTATATGGGATTCTCTAAAATTTTTTTTAATCTGTACTTTGTTTTTGCCAAAGTAGCTGTACCACTTTATATTCCACCAGCTGTGTATGAGGGTGGCAGTCGCTTCATACCCTTACAACACTTGGTCTTGTCAGACCTTTGGCTTTAGCCTTTCTGGTGGGTATGCGGTGATACCTCCGTGTGATGATATTTGCCTGCCTTTGGTGCGTAGTGATGTTGAGCACCTTTTCATGTGCTGATTGACCATTTGAATATCTTCGTCTGTGAAATGCCTGTTCACAGGCACTCCTCTGAGAGTTAGTCCATTTTATAAATTGAGTTACTTGATGTGTAGGAGTTCTTTATATCTGGATAGGAGTTGCTTGCCAGGTATGTATATTCAGAATATCTTCTCCCAGTCGTGGCTTTCCTTTTCACCTTAATATCTTTAGATGAGTGGAAATTTTTTATTTTGATGACATTCAACTTGTGGAAATTTTTATTTTATGGTTAGTGTTTTTGTGTCATGTTTTTAAGCTTTGCCCACCCCAAGACCATGAAGATTTTCCTCCTATCTGTCTTCTAGAAGCTTATAGTTTTAGCGTTCACCCTTAAGTCTATGATCCATCTCAAATTAAATTTTTTTTTTGTTAATCCTCCCCCGAGGATATTTTTTCCATTTTTTTGTTTGTTTGTTTTGTTTTGTTTTTAGAGAGAGTGGGAGGAAGGGATAGACAGAGAAACATCAATGTGAGAGAGACATATCAATCGGTTTGCCTCCCACACACACCCCCAACCAGGGCCCGGGATTGCTTGCAACCAAAGTACATGCTCTTCACTGGAATTCAATCGGGATCCTTCAGTCCATGGGCCATCACTCCATCCACTGAGCCAAACTAGCTAAGGCTCAAATTAATTTTTGCATATGGTGTGAATTTTTTCCTTTTTTTTTTTATAGACATGAAGTTATCTAGGTCTCAATCCTCTATTCTGTTCCATTGATTGACTTACCTGCCCTTACACCAAGTCAATTCTGTCTTAATAAACTTGCTTAATTACTTAGTCATGAAATCAGAGTAAGTCCTCCAGATTTGTTCTTCAAGATTATCTTGGCCCTTCTAAGTCCTGTGCATTTCCAAATAAAGTATAAAATCATCTATTTCTCCAAAGCAGCCTGCTTGATACTTTATGCTATCAACCATACTCCTATGAAAATCCCTCAATTCCTCCAAATTAATATTCCTAGCTTCATTCTTTTAATTTTTGTTTTTGCCATACCAATATGGGTTTTTTTTAAAGGAAATGTTTTAAATTTAAAAGAGAGTTCCAAAGAAGAGCAAAGAGAAAAACAATAAATTAAAAATAAAATAAGCCCTTGTGTGGCTTGTGTGGCTCAGTGGATAGAGCGTCAGCCTCTGGACTGAAGGGTCCCAGGTTCGATTCTGGTCAAGGGCATGTACCTTGGTTGCAGGCACATCCCCAGTGGGAGTGTGCAAGAGACAGCTGATCGATGTTTCTCTCTCATCGATGTCTCTGACTCTCTATCTCTCTCCCCTCCTCTCTGTAAAAATCAATAAAATATATATATATTTTTAAAAGAGTGGTCAATGAGGACACAAAGTTTCTTCTAAAAAAATAAAAGGAAAAAAGAGAGGTCTGGCGGTATGGCTCAGTGGTTGAACCAGGAGATCACAGTTCCATTCCTGGTCAAGGCTCATGCCAGGGTTACAGGCTTGATCCCCACTAGGGCGTGTGCAGGAAGCAGCTGATCAATGATTCCCTCTCTCTTCCTCTCTGAAATCAATAAAAACATATTTTAAAAAAGAGAGTTCTAAGAAATTTAATAGGTTTTGCAGCAATGATTGTTTCTGAGATCTATGAGATATAAAACATAACTATAAAAGGCTGAAAACCAAAGGATTTAGTCCTACTTTTTCTTTTTTTTAAAATCCAGACAATTTGTCACATTAAGTTCAGCACATTTTGGCGGCCTTGGCCTTACGCATCCTGTAAATCGCTGCCCTTCTTCAAGGGGACCGAGCCCCCCACCAAGCACAGCGATGAGTCTTCAATTGGTTTTTTAAGGTTTTCCTCCAGGTCTGTCTTGGTTATTCCAGACTCAGATAATTTCTGCTCCAACTCATCTATCGTCAGGTTCATGCCACCAAACACCAGAGGTCCAATAAATTGAGCCTTGATATCACCTTCAAGGTACCGTAAGCAAATATTGTGGGCAGACTCCTTTCAGGATAATTGGGTATGCAGGTTGTGGAAATGGCTTTGATAAATTTGACCTCAGGAAACTTCCTGCTAAGTCCACTGAAGTGCTGACTTATCAGGGCACAGAGGCGAATCAACCCCTTGTTTGTAAAGGTGCAAGATCACCCACAGGCCTTCTCCAGCTTTGGTAACTTTCTGAACATAATCCTTTCCTGAGATTTCCAAAACTTCTCCAAATTTGTTCTTCGCTTTCGTTGCCTGTACATTTCAATAGATTGTTGGTCTTCCTCATTAAATTCCTCTTCATTATCTTCCAGTTCTTCCAAAGTCATGTGCACTGGCTCTTGGGTCTCCCAAGAGGTACAAAGTCAGTTACTGCCTATGCCAGTGATAGCGAACTTATGACACAAGATATCCCGCCCAACTCATTTTTTTTGGTTGATTTTTCTTTGTTAAATGGCATTTAAATATATAAAATAAATATCAAAAATATAAATCTTTGTTTTACTATGGTTGCAAAGATCAAAAAATTTCTATATGTGACACAGCACCAGAGTTAAGTTAGGGTTTTTCAAAATGCTGGCATGCCGAGCTCAAAAGGTTCGCCATCACTGGCCTATGCCCTGCCTGGGGCCACCTGGCACGAGGTACAGAGCGACCTGCAGATGGCTGCTACTTATGTTGGGCCTGGGGCCTCTTTTTGAGAGGTATGAGGCATGCTGCGGCCAGCTGCTGCTTGTTGAAGAGGTTTTAGGAAAATCTAAAGCCTGAATGAGGACAGGCTATTCATATAGAAAGACCACTGCAAATAGCTTGGGTGGGACTGCGAATTGGGAGGGGCAGAGTCTATGGGAGTCACTAGGGCCAGACAAACAGTGTAAGCCAAGTTGATGGAAACTCAGATATGGCACCTGTCAGTCAGCTCAGGGAGGTCTCAGCAGAGGAACAATGATCTCTGCTAGCACTTTTGTCTGGGAGAAAGCTGCCCCCTTCCCCCCCGCTATGTGCTGCTACCCCAGCGCTGGAGCTCAGAGGGAGTGAGTCAAATTAAGTCCATGCGTCCGCTATAAGAGGAATACCGGGGACTCCAGCAGCCTCCATGTTTACAATTTCCGCTGGTTTTTACATCCCGAAGTTATGAGGACTTCTCTTCCCAGCACTGGAACACTCCTCACGGGGAACCTCTGTAGCCAAGATATGCCTCCCAATTAAAAAACACCGCAGATGGGTATTGGACCAGACCGTTCCGCACCACCACCCCTCATACCAGTCTCAGTGTGGCTTCTTTAATTCTCTAGTTATAGGACTTCCGTTCAGCCAGATTTCAGACAGTTCTGAAAGATGGTGGTTCTATGGTTTAGTTGTACTTTTGATGTCTCCACTGTTTTCTTCACATCAAACCAATTTAATGGCATAATATCTTTAAAATAAAATCCTAATTCATGTTTTTCATTTTTAAATTGAGCTAAACTTTACACACACTGCAGTGTTTTACATATATGTACAATTTCACAACCACTATCCAGATCAAAATATAAAACATTCTAGCATCGTATAAGGGTCCTTTGTCACACTCCTAGTCAATCCTCTCCATGGATAACCAACCACTCTTCACCACCATGATTTTGAACTTTATATAAACGCATTTATACAATATGTACTCTTGTGTATGAGTTCTTTCACTCAATGTTTGATCTGTCAGTTTCATCCATGAGTTCATGTAGCTATGGTTCATTTATTGTCATTGCTGTGTAGTAGTGTTTCAATATTGGAATAGACTACATTTTATTTATTCTTTTTATTGTTGAAGGATACTTAAAGTGTTTTCAGTTTTGGGCTGCTGTGACTTTTTTTAAGCAACTATTTTATTTTACTTAAGATCTTGTGTGACAGGAAATAA